GCATATGCTTTAGCATTCTAGTAGTTTAATCTAAATAGTATCACATTATAATACCCTTGTGAATACTAATAGAATTAGAAATGCATGTACTGATCTTGTTTCCTTACATTTGGTACAAAGAAATACATCTCTACATTAGCCTACATATGAGAGGTAGTGAATAGTGTAAGTTGTTGAAAAGCATTCTAATTCTCATCCTGCATAATATGAAAGTGCCTCACTTAATCAACAATTAAACTTTAAATCATCCATGTAATTGAAATATTGTTATTATGATTTCTTATTATCTAATATTAGTTTAAGGTTATTGTTCTTAATCAGTTAGTGTCATATAAAAAAATAATCTATCTGTACAACAAGGTCGAAGTCATGACCTGTTGCATATGTCAGTAAATTTCTCATGAAATGTAGTTTGTGAGTAAAATTTTATATTATCTAAGTTTTAACTATAATATTTCAAAAAGAAATATAAAAAATCTAAGTCTTCCAAAATTCTGATTTCTCTTCTAGCTTTCCAAATAGGCTCCTGCAGGTATCATCCAATTAGAAACAAAAACTATACATAATTACAAGCAAAAAAATCTAAAATTTGAACCTCCTACCTTCTGTATTTGCTAAGATTTAAATAAATTTGTGAAACCCACCAGAAAAGCCTCTCCCTTCTCTCTTTGATTTCTAGATTTCTTGCTAATTAATTTTTCATGGTTGATGGATATGTTTATAACCAATAAAAAGTGCAGATTCTCCTCTATACCAAGCTCATAACTCCCCTTTTGAATTTGACAGGGGAAATATTCTCTTAACAGAAATTTATTGTCATGAGATCATTATGTTATAGTTCTGAATGTCTAACGGAATTTTTTTTAACCTACATATAGTTTGCTTAGCCTGATAAATGAATAGTACTTTAGTGACATTTAATTGTAGTGAGTGATATACTTCTTGTATTTTAATATGCGTATTTGAAATCTATATGAATTACTGTTTGGAGGCCTAAATGTGTAAAATTCACTGAAACTTACAGGCATTTGAGCTGCAAGTGCAAAGAACACTCATTTTTTTTCATAAAGTCTATGGGAAATAGCTAATGGACTTCTGCTATGATACATTGCTTTTGACGGGGTCTTATAGTTTGAAGTTTATATTTAGGAGGCTCTAAAAGTAGTGCAAAAAAATATAAAACTGTAAGATGAAAGAAAATATTTCTAATTTTAAAATGAAAATAACTTTTCTCTCGGGCTAAGAGCTTTATAAATTCACAGAGAAACCTTCAGTAAAAATACTTTGTTAAAGAATCTCATTTGTTGCAAACCAACACTTGTGTTTACTAAATGTTTACCAATTTTTGTGAATTTAGTACATTCAGGGTTGTAGTATGTATAATTTCATGGTTACAAAGTAATTTCAAGGTGAGTAACCAACTGAAAATGTTAATTGAAATTACTATTAATTCAGTTACTTTCACAAAAGTAATCAATCAAAATTAGTGTTTCTGATTCTTACTATTTTTGGTTATTCCAATTATCCAAGTATTCAAAATATTAGCTATTGCTATTTCTGTTTGCAAGACTGTATATATGTGTTCTTCTTGGCCCCAATTGTGCATGTTACATAACTAGTCAAGTGATACCCGTTGTTCATGTTTAACTTGTGTGACTAAATAATAGTGTAGTTGTACTTTAATTTACTGCATATCGTTATTTATTAAAAGTTACAAATGTAGCCAATGCTACTTCAATAAGATTGCTTTAGTAAAAAAATATATAGCAAGTAATATTAATTGCATCCTGCTCAACAAAATGTTGAATGCTGAGTATCTTGCTCATTTAACTGTTTGTCAGAAATGACTAGACTTGGACTAATAATAAAATATAACATTAGTCTGTCATTAACCTATTTACACAAACAGAACTCCTTTTAACCCTCATCAGCACACCTGGGATCCACATGGACCCCAACGACTTTCTTGGTTGTATGTTGTTTATTACATAATCATTACAAGTTTATATCAGTTCATATAACTGTCAAGCAGAAACCCTGGATCAACATGACTAATGTTGTTGAAACAGGCAGACCACATGGACCCCATACTATCATTGACCCTCACTATACATGCAGTTTACCCTGTAGCATATGGAACAAATTTCTATATGTTTATTTCACTATACTGGCTGTTATAGAGGATAATCCAACAAAGTAGTACAGTATCATTTGGTTTGGTTATAACATAATTGTGGTAAGCATGTATGTACATTTCATTCCTCAACAAGTGTTCTCTGTGATGACTGCTTTTAGTGCCCAATTTTATTGAAACCTTGTTTGATAATTATTGTAAATAACCTGTTTATTGGATTTTCAATTCATAGCCTATTATAAGGATACATTTGTGTTGTGGTCTGGTTGGACTCAAGATAACCCACAATGTACACTTTCAGTTGTCTTTGAGTTGAATTGTGCAGTATTATGGTAATCTCATCATATATTGCTGGATAATGATATGAATATAGGAGTATAATAAAACTTTGGCATTTTTTTTATATACGCTGTTTGTATAAGAAATAGTTTTAATACTACTTATTTATATACTGAAGAACAATATAATTTTGCAATTTCTTGATTTCTCAACATATTTCATCTAGAATACATATATTTTTATGTTGTTCACATTGCATGCTAACCCTAATAAAAGTTGTAATGCAATTGGTTTTTGGAATTTCAATTCTGAACTTACTATAATGGTAATTTTGTGTTGGGTTCCGATTGGACCCTAGGTGTTCCACAACATAACTTTTCAAAAGTATGCTGACGAGGGTTAATTAGGAATAGCTCTAGCTAGATAGTAAACACTGAAAAGGGAAAACAGGTGTCTTACTGTTGTCCTGTGCCACTTAAACACAGCCTAGTACAGTAAATCTGTAAGTGGTTTGATTTACTGGTTATTTCTACAATTTTTTCCAACCTGTACTGTAAAATGTAAACATATTACTGTATTTTTCGGTGTATAAGACGCACTTTTTTACCCCAAAATTTGATGTCAAAATCTGCTTGCCTCCTATACACCGAAGGTATGAATAATATATATGTATATATACGATATACACAAGCCATGTGTAAATATATTTAAATAGGCATGCATAGTTTAGTTCAATTGAATGTGTTATTTATAACAATTGTAATTTTTTTTTCTTTTAAAAACAACTATTTATAATGCTCCCTAAATAATAAAAAAAAAATACAGTGAAAGCAATGAAGATTTTATAGGTTTTGAACCAAACTAAATAATAGTAAATCTTTTTTTAATTTATAGTATTTTCTTATTTTGATGTTTTGAGCTCTTTTGTGTTTAGAACAATATATACTAATTTTTAAAGAATCAAATTGAATTTTTGTTCAATAAAAATCTTTCAAATGCGACTGTAGCTTTTTTCCCAAAAACTTTGTTTTCAAAATAAGGGTGCGTCTTATATTCCAAAAAATATGGTAATAATTTGAATGTCTTTCAAAACTTCTGTCTATAAAAATATCTCCTTTAAAAAACTATCATGCTTTTTAAGTTTTATAAATGTACTAATTATTTTTTAAGTTTTTCACACTGATCATAGAATTGAAAAATTGAAAAATATCTCTAATTAAATATTTTTTCATATTACCATAACTTTAATATTTTTTGTAATGCTTTAATTTTCACCTTATGAATAATTCTAATCTCTGCATAGTGTCATCTCAAGTTTTCTTGCCAAGTAATAAATCTTGTACTGTCTTACTTCTTCTAGGATTGGCATGAATGTTTTCACTGAATTATATATCACATAATGTAACAAGAATATATAATCTTTTTATCTAATGAAATCTAAGAACAATTATTTTAATGAATAATTAATTTATCTAGTTTTAGTAGAGTAGTCTTATAAAAATTTATAGGGAAAAATCCATGGAATGATATTATTCATATTTTCAGCTTGTAGGTTTCGTACTACATTGCATGTGTGGGTATCAAAACATTTTACTGCTGTGACACTTTAATGACTGCCGGTGCATTTTTCTCCAGCAAGTTCTCAAAACAAAACATTTCCTAGCACAGTGAATGACTTTATTCTCAAAAATTACAGTGAACTAATAAACAATCTGACTAAACATGATTAAAAATAAAATTGAATAATAAAGTAATTGAATAAATTGCTGAAAAAATAGAACAATAAATTAATCGAGTAATTTTCTGGGGAAAAAAAGGCTATTGCTACATAACAAATACGTACACTGTTATTTATGTTTGCATGGATACAACTTTTATGATGTACTTTTTGTATTCAAGGTTTTTTGACACGATAATGGTTGCTTTTATAATATAATTTCTATACATGCAGAAAATCTTAAAATGAAATAATTGAATGCTGCATCCCCAATAAAATGAACCAGCAGTCATTTAGTTCGGCAGTAAAATGTTGAGTCAGTCATATGTCATCAATCAAATGTTGTAGAACTGCATGTATGATAAATTTTCATGTACAACAGTTTAGGATTGAAAAAATAACTTAATTGTAAATTGTGGTAGCTGAAGATTAAAGAGCTGGATGATCAGTTAATTAGCAAATTTCACTAATTGCCCAGCCCTACACACAATTTAACTTAGTATGATTATAAAGCTTTATTATTTAAATTTGTTTTGGTATCTTTAACAAGAAAAACATTAGTTTCTTCATGCATGTTAGTGTTTTACTCATGAAAGATTAATGAATTAGTGCTATCTTATTTCATACTTATTTAATTTGTATATGATGAAACTTATGATTATATTGGTTTGTCACCAGGTATTATGACAGTAATTTAAAAAATGCTTGCTCTAATTATTTTCTTGTCTATATATTTCTTAGCCAATAGAATACAATCTGTTTTTTGTTTTATATCTCACTAGTAGTAGAGTACATAGAAATTATATTATAAAAACCAAAACTTTTGCATTTCAGATAATTTATAGTGTTTGTACATTATCTTGTTAATAGAAAATGAAGACTTTGACCACAGATGGGGAGAACTGGATGCTGATGCTCCATCTGCTCAAGAAATTACTCGACGCCTAGCTGTTTGTAACATGGATTGGGATAGGATTAAAGCCAAAGATCTGATGGTTCTATTTACGTCTTTCAAGCCTCCAGAGGGAACTGTCATTTCTGTTAAAGTTAGTACTTTAAATTAATATGTTTCATTTCAATTTCAAGGGCTAAAAATAAGCTATATGGCCCATCTGAGATATCCAATTTTCTACTATCATCTTACTCCAAACTATATTTAAAAACCTCTTTTTCTGTATCCAAACTTTATTTCTGCAGTACTAACCAGAACCTCATAGAGTGAATCAATGGCCTTAGTGTATTTTTACTCAATTTATATATATATATAACCTAAAATTCTGTTTGTCTCATTACTAAGAAAAATAGATTAATGAGAACAAATTAAAATTTTTAATACTTACAGTACCCTTATACCTGATTCCAGTTTAGAAAGATCAGTAATATTTTATAAACATATTACAACTAAAATCTGACTAAATGCCTGTGGACACAGATGGGAGGAACTCTGTTTGTTTGTTTGTTGTTGTTTTTTATCTCCCACTCAATTCTAAATTAATACAACGTATGTCAGTACACAAAATTTTCGATTTTTGTTGCATAACAAATGGTAATTTTTTGCCATGCTGTCTTTTATGTTTCACAGCTTATTTATTTATTCTCCCAAGTGCTTTAAACTGAAATCTTGGTTATTTAAAAATGTCAAAGAAAATGTTTTTAGTGGAAGTCTTACATAATTGAAGATTGGGTACTTTTTTCTATTATAAATTTTTTTAGTCTTGTTTTTGGTGAATGAATTGTGAACATAAGGTCAGGACATCAGACTAAATTGAAAGACACAGTGCTGTGTGATATAGAGTATCCCAAGCTGGTAATATAGAAACTGTACCTATTATTATGAAAACAAAAAGGATAAATAGGAATTTTGACCAAATCATAGAATGAAACAGGAAAAATGTCATAATTCATGAAACATTTACTCTTCTGAGAAACACTATTTAATTTCATGTTATTAAAATAGTTTTCTTACACAAGATACTTTGTACATCTCATTATATGGGTGTACAACTGTATAATATTAACAAGTTTGTTAGATATTTTAGTTTTTGAAGTGAAGAAAGTGTTAGAATCACATGTAATTTTTTATAACTACAACCTAAGTAATTTTTTGTTGTAAAGATTTATCCATCAGAGTTTGGCTTGAAAAGAATGGTTGAAGAAGAGACTCGTGGACCTACTGAACTGTTTGGAGAAAAAAAGGAGAATAATGATGATGAAAAAAACTTGGAAGAAATGCCAGAAAGAAATAAATATTACAGAGAAAAGGTTCGTCAGTACCAGTTGAACCGATTGAAATATTTTTATGCTGTGGTGGAGTGTGACTCCCCAGAAACAGCAAGTAAACTTTATGAAGATCTAGATGGAAAGGAGTATGAGAATAGTGCTGCTCAACTTGACCTCCGTTTCATACCTGACAATGTGATCTTTGAACAGGTATTAGGAAGTTTATAATATACTGTAGAATATTGTATGTTCAGTATTTTAATAAGTAAGTTTGTTATGAGAGCACAGAATCCTTTTTAACTTTCTTAAAACAGCTATTTTGATCAAAGGTCTATATATTGTTAATTATCAGTGTCACAAAAATATTATTTCCCTTAGGAGCCAAAAAGTGTGTCAGAGTCACTTCCTGAATTATCTTCTTACAAACCTGATTGTTTTACTACTACTGCACTGCAGCAGGCTAAGGTTCAGTTAACTTGGGATGAAACTGACCCCAACCGATCAAAAGCTCTTCAAGAAGCTTTTACTAAAGCTGAAGAAGACACTGATTTACAAGCATACCTTGCATCATCTTCCAGTGAAAGTGGTAAGTCTTTTAAACAAACGTTTTATCTAATTGAGTGTATAATATTAAACAGTGTATATTAATATTAAATAATATTAAAATCATTAGATTTTGCTGATTAGTTAGTGTACCTTGTCAGGAACTTACTGTTTTTAGGAGTATGTAATAATGTAAGTATATGGGTGTATTGGTCTACAGTAGGTATCTGTGACTTGTTAGCAATAAATATGACAATAAACGAACAGCACACACTCCACTTTTTTAGAAAAAGTATTTATATGTATTAGAAAGAAGTTGAATGTATATACAAAATTCTTTACACTATGGAGATCATAGTTGTATCTTAAACACTATACAATTCTCGTATTTTTTGTTAAAAGTCTACTTAGGCCTATTCAATTGCTTTAGAATTCTGTTGACAAGCCAATCTATTTTTCTATGTCATATAATTAGTTGTACCTTAAACACTATACAGTTATCTTCTTGTCAAATGTCCACTTAGACCAATTCGATTGCTTTAGAATTCAGTTAACAAGCCAAACTATTTTTCTCTATTTTTATCGCAATAGTATCTGTATATAATTCACTTACACTGTTGTGTGAGTTACCCCAGTTGTATCCTGTACTTCCAATAATTGTCTGCTTTTCATGTTTCCAAATAATCCTCTCCTTTTCATCAAAGTCCACACAGGTGGGTTCAATTAGCTTAGAACACCTTTTGACAAGACAGATTATTTTCCTTATCTCTTTCAAACTGTTAATCTCACTCTAACTTATCAACCATAAGGCCATTCACTTCCACAATGGTTAACTTTACATTTTTTAACTTTTCTTTGACTGACTTCTCTTTCACATGACTGTACTATTATTCTTGTTTCCACTCATCTGGTCACAGCTACTTATACGTCTATCACTTCCACAACAGTTAACTTTACATTTTTTAACTCTTCTCTGACCGACTTCTCTTTCACATGACTGTACTATTACTCTTGTTTCCACTCATCTGGTCACAGCTACTTATACGTCTATCACTTAGGCCTTCTAGAAATTTCTATAGCCTTGACATCAATGGATTGCACACAATGTTTGATAGCCTCAACATCAATGAATTACAAACACAAAATAAATAAATTAATAACACCTAGTACACAAAACAGTCTTATTTATGACATAATTCTGTATTTAAAGAATTCATATAGATCTAACATAGATACATACATCTGACTCCTAAATGAATTGTGTTTTACAGGTTTACTGCACCATAAGTATATTGCCGTACATTTTACTACTTATTATTATACCTCATTGCCTTTTGAGTTTATCAGAGGAAAGAAATCCTCTCTGGTAATGGATGCTGGTTAAAGAAGTACATGAGGAATTTAATAGATACTTTACTATTGAACAAAATGTTGGACCAGTCAGTACTGTTTGGTTACAAATTTTACTGGTCATGAGCTAAGATACAACTTAAAAAATGTATTATATAAAGGATAAATCTACAACAATTACTGTAATCTTATAGAATTTTAGCACACTATTAACTGTTGCCAGATTAGATCTTTTTAAAGTGCACCATGACCAGATAGTAATTTTTTGTTGTTGTATGTTCATCTTGAAATCAACAATCAAATAAAATAGTGACGGGGATCTTTTTCTTTTATTCTTTGTTTTGCCAGGTTATTATATAACTGTTGACTAAAGTTGTACAAAAAAGTAATGTTCATTCATGGTACATTAAGTGATAACAACTAGTTACATCATTCTTAATCACATCCTGATCAATATGTTAGGAGTATTAAGTTGCAAGAGTTGAAGTTGGGGGGAGATTTGGAGAAGAGTAATCATTAAATAAGTAGGTTTTACATACTATTACATGTTTAGATAAAAAAAAAAGGAAGTTTTATTTCTTAATTTTCAGAAAGATCTCATCTCATGGTCTCAGAATTGGCTGTCATTAGTGAATTGGATTAATGAGTTAAAAGGTGGTGCGAGTAAGGTTTTGCAAATTTTTAAAAATAAGAAAAAAATGAATAAAAGGATGACAGGAAAGTTGCAACTTAAATGGCTTATTAGAGATGTAAAGGAGAAGATTTGGGATGAGTGGTATAAGTTTAAGAAGTGTAACTTAACTAGTTTGGAAGATTTATAGAATTATAGGAGAGCTAAGGATTTGGTTAAAAAATATACCAGAAAACCCAAAAGAACTTATGAGAAACAACTTGCTTAAGGATTGGTTCCTTAAACTATGCTGATGGTAAAATTTATGTTGAAAACTATGAAATGGTTGAGCTTGTAAATGTTCTCTTCTGTTTGTACAGAGAAGATATTACCAATATATTATAGTTTATATGTACATTCCTATTGTGAAAGTCATTTTCAGAAAAGTTGTTGTAAACCAGTACCTGCTAGTTAAATGTTTTGTGGTTAGTAATTATAACCTCATTTCCTGTTCTGATTGACCTCTACTTGTTCTTGTGGAGTCATGTACGGATTACTATAGAAAATGCATGTTTGTTATTAGAAATAGCTGATTGGATTCAGAATGTAAATGTAAAGATTATTGATTATATTCCAATATGGTACCTTATCTCTTCTCACATTAAACCTTTTCTCGTTCACTGCTGCCCTCTGTATGTAAAGTGTTTTTCACATGCCACTAGCCTTGAAACTCCCACCTACCCCATGATCAATGTGGTTCACTGCATCTTTGCATATAACTTATAATGCAACAAACCTTCACCAATAAAAGTATGACACACCCTCCTGATGCACATTACACCCTCTATTTGATCCCACCTGACCATCATTTCTCATGGCCAGACAGTTAGGGCACTTGACTCGCAATCTGAAGGTCACAGGTTCAAATCCCTGTCCCATTAAACATGCTCACCATTTCAGCCATGGGGCATTATAATGTGACAGTCAATTCTACTATTCATTGATAAAAGAGTAGCCCAAGAGTTGGTAGTGATGACTAGCTGCCTTCTATCTAGTCTTTTACTGCTAAATTAGAGACAGCTAGTGCAGATAGCCCTCATGTAACTATGCACAAAATTTAAAATAAACCAAACCTCATTAGGCAGTCATTGAGTTCAGATATTCTACAATTTCATGGGTAAAGCAGAAGGTGATTGCTGCCCATCCATGTCATCCTTTTGATTGAATAAATCAAGGGTGGTCTGATTTTCAAGATATGGATTTCATTGTCACCTATTGCACTGTCTCCAGTGTCAGCTTTCCTCTGGACTCCCCACCACATTTCCCCTCTTCTTCTTGTGGAGTATGAGAATCCTTGCCACTTACCAGTTCCTAGCCTCTGAGGTGGTGGATCATAGAGGCAACTTCCTGAATGTGCTCAACTTCATTCAGTAGAGAGTAGAGTGGTGGTGTTGTGCTGGTGTACATCCTCCACATGAATTACAGATGTATAATAAAAGAGAGAGATTAGATCTGCCTTTGTCCTACTATCGACTGGATGTTGGTTCCCAGTGAGTGGTTCTGGATTCGAGCTGAACCAATCATCACAAGTCTTCACACATGTGTTGGTCACGATTCCTCATCCTACCTTGATAACGGGATTTTGCCTCATGCACTCCACTTCTGTGCAAGTGGGTCCCAGAGGTTGATGTTTCATGTATCTGGCTTGATTCTCCCCAAGACTGTGGTTGTTTGGAGAGTTGGCCAGTCATCTATGCATGAAGCAAATGTAGTTCCTCTGGCACTTCTACTCAGTAAGGTTCATTTCCAGAGGCTGATGTTGTACAGAGGAACCAGTCCAATTGGTTTTGGATTTTAAATGAACTGCCACAATGGCATGTCCCTTCTTTCCATCATTCAGATATTGGGTTTCCAGATGTTTGGTGTTGGTTTTGGATTTGTGCTCCTGTGCCCTCTTTAATTGAATGGTACAGAATTTTTTCCTTCCATTCTCCTCAATTTGAGGTGAAGGTGGTTTAGACCCTCCTCCTACCATAGGCCAGAAGATGTAAGGCCGATGTAACCTGGTTTTTGGACTGGAGTTGACCTACCAAGTCATGCCCTAGCCATTCTACACCAAGGAGCACATCCATTTTAGCTTTCCCCACCATTTAGTCTGTGGCTGGGGCCCCAGATTCAATCTTCTCCTGGACTATGATTCTGGAGATTTCAGTGGGATGTGGGGTCAGATCACCTCAGATTTTTTCTCTCATTTATTGGATATTTTCCTCTCAATTTCTGCCTGTTTATGTGATACTACTACACTGGACAAAGAGTATACCTGCTACAGAAGTGGTGCAGTCTCCCACATGTGTTCTTCTTCCAACAGGGGTTCCCATTCCATTGGTGTTCTTTGGATAATTTTGAAGGATGCTTGTATATATCCCTTGCTATGATCCCTCCACCTTTTCAATGTGGGATTCTAGATATTATGTGAGAAGGGATAAGGTACCGGTGCTTAATTTCTGCCTAATCTTGAAGTGATGGTTAGGTGGAATCGAATAGAGGGAGTAATTTGCATCAGGAAGGTGTGTCACACTCCTATTGGTGGAGGGTTGTTGCAAGATAATTTACATGCAAAGACACAGTGAACCATGTTGATCATGGGGTAAGTGGTAGTTTGAAGGTTAATGGTATGTGAAAAAAATCTTGCATATAGAGGGCAGCACTGAATAAGTAAAGCTATTATGTGATTGGAGGTAAGTACCTATCGGAAATATATTTTTAGTGTAGGAAAATAATAACTTTCATGTTGTGAAGATTTATCTACATGAAATATCACCCAGATTCTGAATAATCCCTATTGTTGATGTCTGGACTAATGAGGGCTTACTGTGCCACATTAATAATTAAGATGATAAAATAATGGTTGTTATTGAGATGCACATTCATTGATTATGCACAAAGTAAACTGAGTACTTCAAAAACCTTCATAGTATTAATTTGTTATAATATGATAATTATACACAATTATTTGCTACACATCCTTGATATTATTGAAGTGTTTATGAATGAATGACTGTACTTGAAAGATTATTTATCATGTTGTATTTAGCTGATATACAATAATGACAAAATGATTCAACACAAGGTAAGCCTTGTTAGTAGTGTGTGTAGAAATATTTTTAAGTTCAGTTTAACTTTTTTTATAGTTTAATTCTCTAGTGATTTCTAAAAAATATGTTTCAAAGCTAGACTTAGATGTAAACTTGATATACAATTTTATTTGGAATATAATTTAAATAATTGAAAGACTTAACATTATTAAAACAATAAATTTAAATACATTAAATGAAATTTTGGTATGTTATTACAAAATTCTTTACTTTCACTAGGAGCTGTGCCTATCCTTAATATTCTCGTACACACCTCAATTATCATTTTCTTTGTCATTTGTAATTTTTTACATAGCTCAATTTTACATCCTCATTCTGGTTTTTCACATTTGTTCCTATGTTATATACAGTTAAAAGAGAAGTGTAAAACAAACAGGTCTTAAATTTTGGAGATCCTCTTAAAGTACTTTAGGTTCAAAAGAATTTAGCTCAGTTTATTAATTTTTTAAATATTGTTTGGTCATTTTATAAAGGGACATACAATATGATGTTACTAAATCTTCTTGTAAACATTTTCTGTTCATTATTTTATTTGGTAAGTGATGGACTTTATTGAAAAATACAAACTACCTGTCTGTTCTTAAGAATAATTTGTTTATGCTTAGAACAGTTGACTTAAAGTTATATATATATTATTTTGTTTGGCTCTTTGTGTTTTTATCTGTTCTAAACACTCAGGCTTATTATATACTCATTTCTTTGATGTATTACTCACAAATGGTAATTTACCTAAAGATCTGCCAATTAAAATGCAATTGAGTATTATTGCTTGAATATTTTTGTTTGTAAATATTCAGTTTTAGTAGCTAATGGATGACATTTACATTAATCTTGGAGGAGAAATAGAAAAATGTTTTTTGAGTAAAATCACAACTCTGAACTTTTCTAGTTTTTCATTTTTACATAATTTTATATCAAATAGAATTTCTATTTGAGTGTTACTTTTCAGTGGCTCAGCAGTAATCCTGAAGGCTTATAGCACTGATATTCAGGGTGCAATCCATGATATTGAAGATAACCTACTGTGCAATTTATGCTTAAACAACAATCAAGTTAGTTGAATAAGGAAATTATTTTTAGATAGTGCTATTCCAGGCACTTAGTATCTTGTAGTGGAAATGTAATTATCAAATCCTTGAAAAACATTACAGTACCAGATCTCCAGGAAAATTAAATTACTGTCAGCTGTAAGAAGGTGATATTCCTTTTTCATTTGTTACCCGTATCACTTTTTGTTTTTTAAACAGTATTTTATATGAAATGAGTCTTTGAAATAAAACTAATGCTTAATCGCTTAGAGGAGGAAGGTGTCCCATCAAAGAAACCTGTTGAAACTAATGAATTTAAGGCAAAAGAGACTGTGGCTGACCAAATAGCCAAGTATCGATCCTTGCTCTTGGAAATAGACAATGAGGAAAAAGATAAAGACCAAGATGTGGAGATGCAGATAACATGGGAACCTGGTATGTTGATTATAGCATCTATCTTCTACAAAGAGTTGAGTTGCTTTTCATTGTTTGTTATTTTGACATAATTTGTAAACATGTAGTCTTTAGGGATGTACAATAATTAGTATTGTTTTTTCCAGTGCAATAATGTTGAATGGAATGAAACTTTCAATTACAAAAAAATTAGTTCAATTTTTGTATATTAACATCATAATTAAGGTAATTGACTATATGTGTGTGTATATATATATATATATAACATTCTGATAGATGCATTTGACCTCAAGAGCAGAATTGCACCATTGAATGAAAACAAATTAATAGAAATAATGTTTTAGTCACTCTTCCATGCATCAAACAAAATAGTCATTAGATCTTAATACAGCACTCATAATTCCCTAGGAGGAAAGTCGTAATAGTTTTGAACAAAATAGCACCAATTTGACTTTGTAACTTGAATATAACCTTGTATGTATTGGCATGATATAATTGTCTTTATTTCAGTTTAGAAAAATTATAGGTCTTTAATCTAAACAGGTAATGAAAGCTATGTTTCTGTTCTTTGGAACTATATAAACTAATGTGGCTTTCAGTTCAACTAATCTTTGTGATATGTTGCTAGAATATACTTGTGAATACATTCCACCACAATTGGAGCCCTAATTTTTTATTAAAGCTTTCTTTATCATAAAACAATATGAGAAAGACTTAGTTAAGTCATTTTGTGCTCATCTGTATTAAGTTTTTGTTTCATTGACAAGGTTGCTGTGTTGGGCCTTGTTTTACCTTAGGCCTTATCAACCTAAGTAACTGCTTGAATGGAAAAAGAAAATTGCCACAAGGAAATGTAAAAGAAACATATAAATTAATATGAAATAGGTTTGAAACTTGTATCATACAAGACCTTCTGATTAAGAATCTTTTTAAAAAAGTCAGTTTGCTTATGATTTTGATATGGTAAAAAAAAGCTATTTTTATTATATACCAGTGATTGTAAACAAAGTGTAGTGTTTTTCAAATAGAAACAAAAATAAATTTACAGTTTAAAAAATAAAAACTTTATAGGAAAATTTTACAGGAATGTAAGAAGACTTAAAAATCAGTAATTAATATATATGCAACAATGGTAAGCATTTTTAATTTTCTTAAATAAAACAAAATTGAATATTTTTGAATTTTCAAAGCTGCAAATTCATACAAACATCATATTTAAAAATAATATATTTTATTTGCAGAAGCTACATAATCTGCAAAAAGTTCTTCTAAAGCTGCAAACTTCAAACTGTTTCATCCTGTCGGGTTTTTTTTTTTTGTAATGCAATAAAACAAACCATACAACAAAGGTATCAAACCAGTTCATCCTAGCATAGGAGAGTTAAATGTTAACAAAAATGAAATAGAAAGATTTAGTTTAGTTCTAATTTACCACTCTGATATCTTAAATATTTCATGAAACTTTGCTTAAGAGTTATCAATATTTAGAGCAGTTTTCTGTAATTAGGCTAGAAGTTTAATAAGAACTGAGTAAATCAAGTTATGAATCAGTTCCTACTTTAAATATATTAGAATTGAATGTAATTTGGACTACTGTTATGGATTTTCTGTATGGTTTCATATTAGTCAACTAGCCTCAATAATTACTGAATATACCTCACAAGTACATAAGAAATTATTTTTGTACAGATTTACATGGTTGAATTGTTAAAATGTATTTTTTCACATAAATCCAATAAATCATTAACTGAACCTTGTGAGATCATTGGAATTATGGCTGAATATATTGATAACAGTGAGTGTAATAAACTGTTGAATTAATGCATCTAATCACTATAAGTAACAATGGTATATTAAATTAGCTATATTCATTACTGGGTTAATTTTGAATCCTGATCTATGAAGGTATCTGATAAGTCACACTAGTGTATGTAAAACTACTGTGTACAAAGTATTATTATTTTAATTATCCTTTGACCCTTGTGCTTCATTTACTCTTTTTTTATTCTGGGAGTTTATCATTTTATGACTAACATACATGTTGTGAAATGAGTTTTCTTATAGTAGTACCTGTTCTATTTGGTTGAACCTTATTTCATGGAAATAATATGGAAAGTCTAGAATATAGGTTGGATGGTAAAATTTATTACAGGTTACTGGTTGTTTTAACTTAAATTGATTATGAAAATCAGTCTGTTTTTACATATATACTGCATTAGCCCATACTGTTCTGTGTTCATAAGTGAAACAAGACAATAAAAGCGTCAAGGAAATCCATGTTTCATAGAACAATAAAGAATTTTAGCCCTCAGTTGTTGCACTTTACATTATTAAAATATTTTGTTAGGAGATAAGAAACTACATCATCAATTATGTTAAGTATCAAATTGCATTTAAAGTGACCTTTATAGCTACTTTATTGCTATATATTACCAAATCTAAAATGCTTTAGCCACTTCAAGCAATGCATTTAAATAAAGGTGCTCCCAGTGGTTCATTGATAAGTCTGAGGGCTTACAGTGCTAAAAGTTGGGATATGATACCAGTAGTGGGCAGAACACAGATAGCCCATTGTGTAGCTATATGCTTATACAAAAGCATACTACAACTATTTACTGTCTAAGGAAACAAAATTCATGTGTATGTGTGTTAAAAGTGAGAAAATTTTAATTTTCTAATTTAGCCAGAGTAAAAAAAAAAAATATGCACTGATACTTGCTTTTTTCTGGAAATAATTGAATATATACATATGATAGTTGGTTTGACTAGTAATTTGAAAAGAGCGTATGATATATAATCATTATGTTATGCAAAAATAAGTTCACCCTAAGGGTCAGTTTTCTCTCTCTCCATCTAAAAAAAACAACTTTTGAAATGTGATTACTGAAAGGCTGTGAAACTGTCAGTTTTTTAAATATATGATAGAGTATAATAACTGAATGTTGAAGGAAAGAATGTCTTATACATGGTTAGATTACATTCATATGTGTTTAGCAGTTAGAATTGAAAAGTTCTTTAAGTATGAAACAAAAGTCTAAAACAAGTTATCAAGAGTAACTCTTCTATTTTAATCTATTTGAATATGTGAAATTTTTTTAAAACAATTCTTTAATACATAGGACTTAAAGAGACTGCTGAAGGCTTAGTAAAAAAGAAGAAGAAAGAAAAAGAATTAACACCATGGGAAGAATACTTGGACAAGAGAAAAAAGAAAAAAGAAAATGTGACAAAACTAAATGAAAAAGTATAAATAGCTTTATGTATTTGAATGAACTTATTTGGAAGTTCAAATATTTTCTAGGTTGCAGGAGGTCACTGAGCTTTCTAATCATATAAATAAGGTGTAGACTGATAAGTTATAAAGATTGGAAAAGATATTCAGAACCTCAATGTTATAATTCTTTTGAACAAGTTCCATGTCTTGAGCTACCATCTGATTGATTTAGGTATTAATGTTCTAAAAATTTTGAAAGTTCTCTAATAATGTCCCATGGTTCTGAGCATATTAATTCACGTTCTTCAACTTCTAAACAGATAACATGTGGAAAGCTTGACATTATTATTAAGAAGTGGTATAGGATATCACTTACTCATGAAGGGTATTGTTATTGAGTAACAAATGTTTTTTTTTTGTTGTTGTTTTTATTTTAGACAAATAAAAATTTACAGTTTCCCTCTACACAAATGTATGGGAAGTGATCACTCTCCTAGTTCCTGTGTCACTGTTGTCAAGCTTCAAACCAGTATTTAAGGATCTTTCAGAAATGCACAATTAGCCAATTTTGATTTTGGTATGTGTATTGTACAGCCAGTGAATGAATATGCTGATGTTTCTGCTTAACAGTTTGTTTCCAAAATGATTTGCATTTTGTGTTGTGTTTTGACCTGAAAAGTGTCAAGTAGTGTTTTAATCAGGAGGCTCCACCTATAGCTAAGATGGTACACCATAACATCCCTATGAAAATAGCATGTTCTTCCTAGCCAATCAGAACTTTAATCTATTTGACTTGTCATTTTGAAGACAAAAATTACCATCTCTAATCTGTGCATTAAGTAATTTAGAACTGCTTGTCAACCTACTACAATTATATGGTATGTGATGAACAGTTGCTATTGCATGCATAATTATAAACATTTTGAACTAATGTTTATATCACAGTCTTTTAATGCTGTTATAAAAAGTATTTGCACATATAATTTGATAGCCCTCTACATACTATATACTTATATGTGCAATAGCACTAGTTAACTAGTAATAACAATTTAATATCTGAAGAGTAATATAGTTACATCTGATGTTTCAGTTTTTATGAACATATTTTTGTGTACTTTATACTATATAGCAACAAGGTACCAATGATGTTACAAATGAGGATCAACCTTTTAGTGATGATGAAGTTCCATCTGATCTAGATCTTGAAAGTTCTTACTTCAAAGAAGAATTTCTTAAGAGCAGTGGTATGTATTACACTGCCTATATATTAAATATTAGTTGATTTTTCCTTATATCACAAATTTTATTTTTTCTGTCAAATCTTTGTCTTGTTTTGAAATATTTTTTACAAGATTCTTATTTCAGTGTAAGTTAACTTTAACAAAATAAAATTTATATCACCACTGTGCCAGATGATCCATTGCTTTATTACAGTTTCATTTGATTAAATGAAAATGCTGAAAGAATTAACATCATTCTAATACTAATTGCACTTTCAAACCAAATAATTTTGTTTTGTTGTTCAGTTTAATACATAAATAATTAGCTTGTACTTCTGATGAAGAATAAACCTATTTTGGAAAGCTGTCAAGCTTTTGGTTATTTTTTTATTTGTTTAGTTTTTGAATCATTTTATAGAAATCCATGGTGCTACCTTAACTTAAAATGATTAACTTCTGCCAATATTATTTCTATCATTATTTCAAAAGATATAATACTATTTTTTTTAATTTGTATAAAATGTACAGTATTTTATCATTAACAGAACTTAGTTTTTTAACTGCAATTTTAATAATTTATATTTCCAAAACAAGGAAAAAAGAATGTGAAAAATTTTCTGTAATAACATTTAGAGCAGAGTTTTTTTTTTACAAGTAGTGATGATAATTATTTTGTCATTAACATACTCCTTAAAGTTTTCATTGTTTAACCTTAATTTCTTTCTGGCAAAGTTAGGAAAATTTGTCAATTTTTTAAAAAAAGACATGTTACCCTCTCCCTTCTCCATTTTAAGATTTTTTTTAAATATTCATCTTTTCTTGTGGTTGAAATTTGATAGTGAGGATAACCTACATCATGGGTTCCCAAATGTTCTCAGCACAAAGCATTCAAGGACATCCTGACTGACGCCCCCCCCCCCCCCCCCCCACAACCAGTGAATCTATAGACACTGAGTACCTTAAAAGTAATGTTTACTTGCTATGCCCCCCTCTTTTCTGCAGTCCACAAGAGTTCATGGACCCCAGTTTGGGAACCCCTGACCTATATAAACATGTTTTATATGATTTTTTGCCTTGTTTTTAATAGTTTTTCTTTTGGGTAAGCAATCTAAAGTTTTACTGAATCATGAAACATAATAAAATAAATACATATGTAAAGATTATTTAATTTTATCATTATTTCTAGGATTTATAACTAGCTGTTTTAATTTAACTGGATACATTGTTCATAGATGTACAGAATAATATTTGAACTTTTTGTATTATGGCAAATGTTGTTAGTTATTAGTATTCTGAAACATAGAATATTTTGATACTGTAAAAGAATAAAAGGTTTTACAATATTATAGAATGTAAACTTCAAATCACCTACTCTAATGTAGACATTTTTAAATTTTACAACAAGAAATTATATTAAATATAAGAAGATAAAAATGTGTTACTACAATTTGTTTGTTTCTTTACTGTGCAACATATTTTAACGTTTTTCATCTGCTTGTTTACAAAGCACCATTTGTAAGATGTGCATTGATGTATTTTTATTATATAAAATGAAAAGTACTCATTTAGCATAGTTTTTTGTTTGTTAAAATTTTAATCACTCAATTTATTTCATGCCTTGGCACTAATTCTGTTCCTGAACTTTCATGTGGAATTCTCATATTTGTGTTGTTTCTTCACAGAAAAATATTGAATAGTAGCATCATTAAACGAACATAAAAACACAAGTAGTGAGTAGTATAAGGAAATGTACTTTTCAATATACACGTATTTTTTGCAGATAAAGATAAGGTAAGAAAAAAAAAGGAACGAAGAAAGAAATCAAATCTTGAACCAGAAGATGGTGAATCAAAGGTACACAAAATAATTTTTAAACAATTTCTGATTTTTAAAACTCATTTTAATTGCATGCATTCTAGTAACTTCAATGATTATAAACTTTTTAATATTATAATTGTCTACTGAAACTTTCTAGAATATATTCAACAATGGCTTTGATTAGCTCACTTACCACTAAAGTGGCACAGCAGAGGTTTACATAGGCTTTTGTGCATCTTGTTCACACAAGCATTTCTAATTTTTTAAACATTAGGTTTTGCTTTGTACTCAAGTTTTAAGAACAAAACTGATAGGCATCAATTTTCAAAGGATACTGGACTTCAAATGAAGTGGAGAATAACCATAAATTGTGTTTGTTCATAACCTTGGTGCCCATGATGTTATATGCAAAAGTCGCTTTGAATCTTAGGATTAGGAGGAGTCACTCTTAGATCCTATCAAGTTTTAATTTCTCTGCTTTAACATTTTGGGGAGGCCCTTTGTACAAAATAAATATATTTTTGCCTTCTATTTGTATGCAATTAATTTTTCCATTGAAAAAATTCTGTTTCATGTGGCCTAATTCTAGTCCTAGACAGCTTCTCTTTAACAAGGATTAGTTCATGTAAGCCTGATCATATAACAGTAGAATGAAGTAGTTTGAATTCTTTGATAATATGTAAAATATTTTTGAGTAGCTCTTGAAATTTTTTGTTTGTTTTTTCTGGACATGTTATTCTTAGATACAGAAAAAAAATATTTCGCTATGACTTCATTTAGACATATTTGTTTATTGAGTAAACGTGATCACAGTTTCTCATCGTGCCAGAAAATTCATGAAAAACTATACTTAAAATTATTGGAGTCATTCAAGAAGTGCAAAACAACAATTTTAAAAGTGCTAACTATAAGTAAATTGTGAACCACAAATCTAAAGAGTATAAATGTACATGCTAGGTATTGACTGAACCTGCTTATTTTTAACATTCATTACTATCAATCGAGAACATTCATCATCATTTTTGAAATGATAAGAGAGTATTGTACTACCACATAGTGTCAAAGAATATGACCTTAACTTACAGTTAATATTTTTTTTTTCCTAATAGTAACAGCACCATGCTTGTGAAGTTAATTTTTTAACTGATTCACTATAAGCTGTAAGTAATTAGGAGTCTTGATACTTGCATATTGAAAACTAGGCTGCTAAGTATCATGTTGTGTTTATGTGCCTTCTGTTTCAGAGCTTGAAGTTGATCAAAGCCCTTTTTTCACCAATATATTGTTAGTCAAATGTGCACATCTTTTAGAGATGGATCTAAAATTTATGGCAAAAAAATTTAGATTTATGACTTTCCTTAAGGCTTGGGTAATTTTAGGATTATTCCAACAACTATAAAAAAAACGTTTGATCAGTATTGAAATTCTAGAGCTTCCAGATAGCCATCATTCACAATAGTTACTTGTTCATTGTCACATTTCATTGTAGTGTAACCCGCAAAAGATTTAACGAGCTATGTAAAGAAGTGTAAAAAAAATTATCTGACAATTTCATTTGTTACTTGCAAGTTAAGCAGGAAAATCATCTACAAATTTTACTACATTTGACATTTATCTAATTTTTGAGTCTTAACTTTCTTTTTTTTTAATAGTCTATTGGGTTTTTGCTTCTTTACTGTAGGCCCAACTAGAACTACTGACAATGGATGAGGATGACAAAAAACATCATTTCAGCCTCAAGAAGCTTCTTAAAGATAATGAAGTTCCAAAAAAAACTAAAAAGATGAAGAAAAAAGGAGAGATTAAGAAGAAAAGTGCTGATGACTTTCAAGTAATTTATAATATATATATAGATTTTTTTTTGCAAATTACTTGTCCTCTATCCCACTTAATTGCAACAAAATTAAATATGGTGTTGCAGTCAAACAAACTATATAGGAACAGATTACAATGTTAATGATATAAGCATCTAAAGTTTTAGTGTGTTTTTGAAGTTCACAAGGTTTTTCTTCAATTTCAGCTAATTCCAGCTTTATTTCAGGCCATAGGTTTAAAATTGTAAAATCAATCAATGTTTTTCATTTTAGGTATGTTACAATATATTCTACTGTGATTTTCACTGAAGTGATAAAACTGTGCAACATATTTTGTTAACTCTCTCTTGCTATGAGCTTGGCTCAAATGGCCAAGTTTGTGACCACAAATTGATCTTTATACTTTCCATAGTATAACTTATAATATGTTTTGTGTATCTTTATGAAATTCCACAAGCTTTCAATAAAAATTAAGTCATTTGTAGACTAAAAATCATAATATTTAATGAAGAATTTAAACTAACATTTCTCCATGAACATGGAGTCAAAGTGGTGATTGCTCTGAGTGCAAAAGGATTTTCATGTTAAGATTAAAAATTATTTTCTTCATATTCATTTGCATAATCCCTAAAACCTCATAAATAAATTTCAAAAGTATTTTTTCAGGAAAACTTTATATTTTGTCCTTTATTTTCCCTACTCTAACTGCATATGAGGTTGGTCAAATTGACCAACCTCATAACTGCCAAGAAAAATAAAAATAAATCTAAATTACTCATTTTTTTCTTTCTAGAATGACTTCAAATTGTAACATGAAACTACATTTGTATGTCCTAAATAGTTTTAGACTTATAAGTGTACATCTGTTTATACTTAAATTTTATTTTTTTATTGCCCTTTGAACTGTATCTAGCTAATAAGTTGAAAATCACTTGGTGAATGTGTAGCTCACATTATCTGATCCAATTACATAATGTACAGTTAATTAAGTAATGCACTGAATAACACAGAATAATAACACGCAAAAAGCAGACAATGTCCCATAACTATCACAAATTTTCTGGCTTTCTAATTATCATAGTCTGTGTAACAAGAGCTGTCAAAAATTCAGCTAAGCTTGTCAGTGTGTTTCCCTTGAAAATAACGTTTGAATTGGAAGTAAAATGGATAATTATCTGTACAAAAACAATGTACTATAACAACTCATTTGATAGATTAAAACCTTGGCTTTCTATTGGTTATAAGTAATACAGTATTAATTATCAGAGAGAACTACTGGCAATTTGTGAAAGAGAGGGTATGACAGTTGGGTGCAGCAAGAGGGGGGTCTGATTTTCTAGTTTCTGGCTCTGTAACTAAATAAGATTGAAACCTACAAAAATTATGCTTTGCCTGAGCAATGACCACGATATAATGAGTAATTTACATTAAATTTTGTACTTCTTGGAGAGGTGGTAAATACATTGGAGAAGAGGTGATACCTAGAGAGCAAATGCCACAATTCTCATATTAGGGGAAATTGAAGATTTTTTTTCAATATTGCCTTATAGAATTAAGAACTTAAAACTTGTATTAAACTTTGGATTATTAGCTAAATTTTGATGCCAAGTTTATTTGTATGCTATGATAATAAAGTGCTTGAATTAAATTTTGAATGTAACTCACTAAAACCTCATGGCATGCACAGAAAAATATGCCAATGGCAAAAATGTTAAGTGATTTCTACCTAATTCCTGTCAATAATTCCAAAGATCACTACATATCTTCTCTTGCTTATTTAAGATGTCTAGACTTTGAGATAACTAAATACTAAATTTAAAATTTAATGTGAAATAAAATAAAAAGAAACTTCTATATATTGTTTGTCACAGTATTAAGGATCATAATTACTAGTTCAAAGATGCTAATTTTCCTCATTATATCTGCCTAAGAGGTTTACATGCTATTAGACTTGAGGTAACTTCCACTTGATTTCACATATTTTAAGATGAACTATGCTGGTGCATGATGAAGTCATTATGCAATACAAAAACACCACTAGTAGGACAGCACAACCTCCATGCACAGTAACTACCTTTATGAACTTGCACTCATGATAACTTCATTCTTCTCCTCAGCATTGAACAACACAAACTTGTTTAAATTTGTTCATCTTAAATTTGCTGAGATTTGCACTTGTTAATGAAACTTCGGTTTTCATTATACTTTAGAATTTGTCATTATTGCTTAATTTTGTTACTATAAATTCACAAGTTAATATGACTTTGAAGACTTCTATTTACTCCTGCGTGGGTGAAAACATTTCATACACAAGACCTATTTTAACTATGGCTTCAGGAGGATCATTGACTGAGGAAGACATCATGGCTATTGTACAAAGGGTTGTGAGCCTTCTGTTCCCATTCATTCTTCTGGTATCCTGTCTCGTCCTCAATTTTTAAGTCAAACAAGAGGAAGACAAATTCTTTTGCCTGTTCCCTCCTTCTGGTTTTGCTTTAGATAACTTCCTACTGGTTGAGGAAAGCTCTAAACCTTTCACTCTATTACAAGACTTGATCTCACTGTCACATTATTATCTAGTTTTCCTTCCTCATCAAAAAAAGAAGGGTAATAAGAAAAAGATGAAGACACGAAAATTGAGCACTAGAGAGCAAAACAGAAGACAAGGAATTTGCTCTTTAAAGAGGTAAAAGAGATTTCAAAGATTGGGAATCAAGTAAAGAAAAACTAGAATGACTATAAGTCAAGACATGAGAATCATATAAGCAAGGAGGGCAAGGCATAAGGTTATGAAGTTGTTCCAGAAAGGTGTCAGCATGAACACGAATGTCAAGAGGAGTGGTCGATTACCAGACACCAGTCTTCTTTGGGACCACATATAGACAAGAAGAGTTGTATACATTCAATGGCATGTTTGGCCAAAAGTTCTGATATCATCTCCTTGAGACACTAAAGATACAGAGGATCAGAGGGAGAAGAAAATAAAACAGAAAGAGGAGAGGCAGACCATGTGTGAGGAATTGGAGAACCTATGTGTCAGCAGAAAACTGAGACCAGAGGTTGGCAAAGCATGATAAGCAGAGGACCCAGATAAGTAGGGATAAGACAGAAGTGGTACAGGCCATAGTAGGAAATAGAAGGGCTCAATTACTTTCTGGTCATTTCACACTTTCAAGTGGAAGATTTCTTTTCTCTCCAGTGGTCCTTTTCACCCAGGCTGTAGATGACCAAGGTTGATGTTTTAGGTGCATTCCTTCACATCCCAGTTGCCCCATCTTCGAGACCCTTTCTGCAATCTGTTCACCAGAATTACATCTCCTAGTTCCATGCTCTTCTTTTCAGTATTGCGTCATTCCTTTATGTATTCAGCTACATCATGAGGACTTTCACTCACCATCTTTACGGACTGGGTCTATGAATCCCCTTTTACATGACTATCTATCTACCTTTCTCCTCTGCTACTTGAAGAATTGTCTTGATGGTTGAACCAGTCCATCACCATCTCTGGATTCCCCTTACCTCTCTCCAGACTGGATCTTCACCTCTTTACCAATGCTTTCCTCTTTGGTTGTGTAGTATCTCTGAACATCATGACATCTGATCTTTGGACATAGGATCAATGCTCACTTCACATCAACATGCTCAAACTAATTGCTGTCTATTGGATATGCTCTCATTACCTACCCATTGTGTAAAATGATTTGATCATGATCCCTTCCAACAATTCCATGGTTGTTTCATACATCAGTCATCAAAGGACACTCATTCCAGGACCCTTTGCTTTCAGACTTACAACCTCCTTTTCTGGGCTCCTTCTCATCATATTCGTCTGATTGCCTGTCATGTACTGGGAGCTATGAACTTTGTTGTTTACTGCCTCGTTTGGCCAGACTGCATTCTATCCACAGAATGGTCTCTCGATCAGCAGTTCTTTTGTTGGGTTTATTCTCAGTTGGGCACACCTCTCATAGATGCTTTTGCCATCCCCTCCAAATTCTAAGCTTCTACTTTTTTGGTTTCCTTTAACACTGGCTGTCAACGTTTTTGGCCAGAACTAGTCTCACCTTTTCCTTTATCTATATCCTCCTCTTTGTCTCCTCCCTTAAGTCCTTGCCTTGATCTGTAGTACCTCTTGCTGGTGCCTCTTTGACAGATCAGTGTTAGTACCTCTGCTTCTTGGCTTGGCAACCAGATCCACTCTTCCTCTACCCAGTATCCCCTCTCTCTTGTTTCAGCCTCACATGTCACTGTTTCATCAAATGATATTATCCCTCCATCTGCACATGTGTGATTTGTCTGGTCCATCTCCCATTGGGCCAGACTCTTTCATTGTGTAGCTTTTCTCTTGTCTCATTCCTGTCACTCTTTCACTTTGTCTGTATATCAGTGTAAGTGGTGTGTCCATCTGCCATTCCTTTTCTCCTGCCCACTATGAACAACCTTTCTGCCTTCTTTACTGGGTTATTCAACCATGTTTTATGGGTTTCCAACATTGCTGATTATTGGGTGGTGTTATCCACAACATTTTGCCTTTCCCAGTACTGCAGGGTGTTTTCTTCCATGTTCTCTCCACTCTTTTGCTCCTTCCTTCTTCACTGTCCTCTCACCTGACTCACATACTTGACTGAAACCTCAGTGGGGTTTTGCACGTGACCCATTCAAGCCATTGCTATTTGCTCTTTATTCCACCTTTCCTTTAAAACTTATTACCTCCTCCTTCTTTCCTATGGTCATGGTCATTTGGATATCTATATGATTGATTCTTCTCACACTCTTTTTCAACGTACTTACATACTTCTCTATCCAGACTGAACTTTCCTTCCTAAAACTTCTGCTACTTGGGAAAGTGACTGCACTTTCTCTTTTATCTTCCTCCCTTACCTCAATGATTGTTCAGACCAAGACTGGTTACTATGTCTTGGTTGGGCTGTTTGATGTTACTTATCACATACTTCCCCCTTTCAGAGTACCTTTCATTGTCTGTTTTTATCCTGGGACCCTTCTTCCAGGGACCTCTATCCTTCTACCTTTACTGGATAGATCCATCAACTTCTTTGATTGGTATATGAATCCATGGATGTGGATTTTCACAGGCTATTCCACCTTTCTTTACATCAGATTCATCACCTTACTCATTTTTAGTTGCCCATTTTTGCCAGCCATTGGATTAGATCCTCCAGGCAGGCATACGGACTATGCACCCACACCTTCATCACTCATTATCTACATCATTTGGCTGTTTTGTCTCCATAGGGTTTTAAACTTCCTCCAATTGCCATTTTCCAATCAACCCACCATCATTAGATGGGTGAGTGTTCTTTGTTTTTTTCCCCACTGTTTCCCTTTTCATCAGACAGGATCCCACCAAATGGCTGGTGTTGTCTCCTACAGTATAGTTACCTAAAATCTGCATCGAACCAGGATAATGAAAGTCACTCACAACATACACCCTGACTTTATCAGTACCTACTCTGAGATGAGGTGTTCTTGTAAGAGGCTGTTGTCACATGATGACATCATCATTTACTAGAGCAGTTCACTTTAAAACATGTGAAATGAGCTGGGAGTTAGCTTAAGGCTAGTGGCATGCAATTCTCTTAAGCACATGCATAAGGAAGATAGCTATGCTGTGTACGGAGGTGAGAATCTATCAAAAATACATTTTCAAGGAAGGAAAATGTTAACATCTGACCATTGAGTACTAAGGTTAACTTGAGAATTATTAACAATAAGGATTGAGGTAAATATTTCATATACTTCGTATAATAAAATTATTTTTTAATTACAATAAGCTTAAGTATGTGACTCGTTATACATGCGTATATATATATATATATATATATATATATATATATATATAT